ATATACCATATAAGGAACTATACTTTATTTACATTAAATATAGAAGAAAAAAAATTGTTATTTCATATTTGATATTTTGTTTAATTTAAAGTAAATCTGTTATTTAATTGGAGGATTTTTACAGTGTTTTTTTTCATTAGAATTAATATACATAATTTTATATTTATTTTATTTTATTTTATTTTATTTTGGAAAAAAATACTACACCTACAAAAAATATGATCAGTCTATGCCAACATATACAAAACATAAAACCCTGCACAGAGACTGTTGTTCTGAGTCAACATACAACTGTTTGAGTCATGGCACCCTTACATCCCAAGCCATTGGTTACATTTCAAGATGCCTAACACTGATGTCAGTGGTAGACAATAACATGATCCTATGGTGTTTTAGTGATGACCTGGACTTTGTGAGTACATGATCTGTATACCCTTTGCTTGGGCCTAGCAGTAGGTTGCTAGGTGCCTCTTAAGTTTAAGCCTACTTGCATGTTGGCAGAGTACAGTGATGCTTAAGTAAAGAAGATGAGGTCTTGGCCCCTAGGATTGATCAAGCTAGGACTTTTTTCTTTTAATTCTTTTTGGCCTCCGGGCACTAAGAGGGCTTGTTTTAGCAAGCCCATTATCATTCAGCCAAGCCCACAATGGGGCAGCCAGGTAGTAAGGTACAGAGTCCGACATATCTGGTCAGACCCCTCCGAAAAATTCCAGAGGACGTTTTTGACCTGTCCGGACTGGATTCCAAGTCATTCAGAACAGTATTCTGCCACCTTGATCACTCAGCCATTCGGCCACAACTAAGTTAAGACCGTGCCAACAGACTTCTTTGGTCCCTGCTTCCCTGTAAACTGGTGGCCAAGCCTATTCCACCCTGTTCATTGAGGATGTCTGTTCCTGTATTGTCTTGCTATGTTTTCAGCTGGGTGAATCTGGATGAGTGGTTTAGGGGGATTTTGGGAACTGGAGGACATTCGACATTCTTGCCTGATATCACTCTGCTATCAGATTATACTCACTTTGAGGTCCTGGTGGGGGAAGCCAGTGTTGTAAGGGCTTGCAGTGAACTCCAACCCCAACAAGGCCCTACTACATCCCCTTGTTGGGGTTGGAGTAGGGCCAGGGATAGTAGAGTGAATGAATTTTGATCAATTGCTTATGGATACTAAAATGAAGCAACACCTCCTAAACCCTCTGTTCAGAAAGAGAGGACATGAGGAAGACCAAGATTTTCCCTTGAAATGAATAGTCCAGAATAACCTGAATGCATTAGCCCTCAATACCTGATTATCCATTAACAAGAAACTATCTGAGTTATTCCCCTTTAGCATTTATAGAACCCTCAGCCAAATAACTGGATCACCAAAAATGGCACAAAAGCTCCAACTAGGACACATACTCTAAGACTGAAAACAGTCAACATAGTAAAAAGCTCCAGGAAATAACCATTCGTACAGTTATAGCAGTCACAATAACTCCATGTGGATACCTAAATTATTCCAGAGAAATAATATCAAACACAGACCTCTTGATGTGTATAACTGATGAAATTTTAGACAATCTGGCAAGTCAGGAAATTATAGAGGTCCAAAGGATTAACCAAAAATGAATCAGGAAAGTGGTTCCTACATAGCATCTAATTATAACTCTCAACAGACATAATCTTCCTGCATATATTAGAGTTAACATACCTAAACAGTAGAGTCTGACCATATATCCCAAACCTACTCATATGTTATAACTCCAGACATATGGACAACTGTTGGAGCAAAATATGATGTCCAAACTCTGGAGAGCAACCACATGAAAGTAGCTGTCCAAACCCATCTGTATGTATAAATTGTGTGGGAAATTATACAGCATTCTCAAAAGGACCCAAAATAGACAGCCGAAAAAGAAATACAATTCATACGAATGATAGAATGAGCTATTTATACACAAGCAAAGCAGAGATATATGCAGATATGTCCTACCAAATCCACATATGTCAGAAAAGTCATATAGAAAATTTCGAAAGAAGTTCAAACATAAATCAGCATATCCCCTATGGAATATACCAAAACCTTACACAGGAATGTGGCAACAAAAAAGCACATACAGTTGACAAAAATGGCTAGTATCAGCAACAAAATGGAAAACACCAAACACAAAACATCTGCTCTACTATCCCACTCACCACTGACCTCTATGAAAACAAAAAACAAAACTTATAACTAGATCAGCAAACAAATGATAACCACTAAACAGCATAAAACATGCCTCAAAAAGACAAAAACTATATAAAAGACAAGACTATATAAATCTACCCAGCAAGGAACACTATCTTCATAACCCACTTAGCCTTTCTGAACATGTACACTGTAATACTCCAATGGAATTGCCAAGAGATATGATATAAAACTAATGAACTCAAGAACATAATATAGACTAGGGTTTCTCTAATGGGATTCCAGCTGTTTTTTAACCCAGAAAATTATTCTCGTCACAAGAAATCCTGCAAAGTTCTTAAAAGTTCACTTTTTTCTTATTTTACATTAAGGTTGATGAAATTTTGCAAATAGAAAGTATAATTAACTCATAAACTGTCAGAATACATTTGTATTTATTAATTTTAAGCCACCTGCTTATTAGTGTTTTTAAATTTTTGCTTGTTATGGCATCTCACAGATTGTCAATAATCAATATGTAACCTATTTGTGGCAGGACTCTGAAAATTCTTTACTTGTCAGAACCTGTAATATCTTGAATAACTGTGCTAATGCTGTCTTAATCATGCCCAGTAGCTTCAGTAACTTCATTATACTAGGTTGTGCAAATTGGGCAAGGATACAAACAAGTATGAAGTTTTTCTTCATAAACCTGATTATTAAAGCCAAAAGAACTACTGAATTATCGGACTATAAGCTTGATGCTGCTGTTAGCCAAGGTAGACAAATCAAGAATACTAGAGAGCAAAAGAAGTATTGCAACACATCTTGAAAATGAATAGAAATCTTTGAGGTTACTGGTGAAAAAACACAAATCTGTCTTCTCTTAAATGCATTAAAGATGATTCTACCCACATCAATTGAATTGGAAAAAGCGTTCTGGGTTTGCTTTCTAAAATCTTATTATAAAAATTTACAATAATATTTTGTATTATGCTTCATTTACAAAATGAAAATTACCTTCTAAGTTAGAAGTTTGATCTAAATTCATTTTTTTTCTTTAAATTTTCAACTCAATCCAAAGCAGTTTTTAAAAGCAGTTTCCAACAAACTTTAATAAATTTTTTCTATTTGTGAAAATTTCTACATAATTCAAATGTAAAAATTTGGATTGGGATGCTTAATAATGCTGTGTAAAATTTTATACACCATTATTAATATTATTATTTTGGAAGTTGCAAGATGTATTAAATTACTTAAAAAATGAAAAATAATTATATCATTCGATTTCAAGATTTATTTTATATCTTAAAAATAATTAATTATTTCCTGGGATCCTGGGAAACAGATAAATTTTTTCTCTAAATTCTGGGACAAGCAAAGGACTGGGAAATGAGAAACCCTAATAACGACTTATGGTCCATTTTGCATGTGCCTATAAGAAACAAAGGCTAAAACAATCAATTACCTTAAATCCACCATATCACACAAAAGTTTTGAGGCAAGATTGCATTTCTGGTCTCACAAAAAGTGCCAGTAAAAGAAATTCCTGTGACCACATTGCTCCAGGCAGTCCAAATTTAACATCTGGAACTAGTAACAGTGGGTAATATTTGCCTCCCTCCACGGGACTCAATAAAACAAAATAACTTATAAGAGATTCTATGTCAACTTCCAAAGCCCTAGATACTGATGGGAGACTTTAACTGAGAGAGTTTAAGCTGGGATAAAAACTACAGAGGGCAAATTATTGAAACTCTTCTGGACAGACATTCTCCATCTGTACAACACAGGCACCCTACTCATTTTCACTATCCAAACTATACCTATTTGGCTATAGACCTTACTATCAGCACACCACAGACTTTTTCAAATTGGAAGTGGACAGTCCTTCCAAATCTCAGAAACAGTGACCACAGAAAACATAGATCCTAGATGGATTATTCAAAGAGTCTGTTAGCAAGAATTTACCAAGCTTGCTAACTTCACAATAACTACAGACAGAAGCTAATCAAGAGTCCAAGAAATACAGAATGCCACAGAGACAATTTTACAGACAGCCCCATGTCAAACAGAAACTGTACTCCATAACTAGAAATCATGGTGGAATCTGGAATACATAACAAATTGATGAGCTCAATATAGAGCTTGGCAGAAGTTCAAGTGCCACCCAACAGAAGAGAACTATATCAGATTTAAGAAGGTGAAAGCAAATGCCAGAAGCACCTATCAGAAAAGTAAAAACAAATCCTGGGTGTAATTTATCAAATCATTAGAAAGAACAGATCAAAGAAAGTTGTGGAAAGGCATTCAAACCATAAAGAGAAACTTCTCTACCCCACAGATCTCAATTTTGACATAATAGACAAACAAGCAATAGCAAACTGGGCAAAGCATTTGCATACAACTCAAGCACAGCTACCTAAGCCTAATCAATTCAGATTATGAAAGAGAAAGCTAAACAAATTCCAGTACAATTTGGTGACACACCAACTCAACTCATAACAGCCAATTCACAATGTATGAATTACAGCGTGCTTTACAGCAAACCAAGAATACAGTGGTTGGTCCAGATCAAATCCACTATGTCATGCTCTGAAACTTACCATCAACAGCACAACTATCACTACTACTTATATTTAACATGAAAATATTTTTGAAATGTGTGTTTATTTTATTGTAAATAGAAATTCAAAAAAAGGCATTTAAGTTAATATAATAAACATTTTATTTTAAAACAGGACTGAACTAAAAACTATAATGAAAGTATTTCATATGACATATCAATATTTTAATAATACAATTATAAAAAGTTTCTCATTTTATTAATGTTAATGTTAAATATTATAAATAGGATGTAACGTAAAAGATCGTTGGAACGAAGTTCATAATATATGTGCTCCTCATATTGAAGATCATATTTTAGCCTTCAATGATATTCATCTTTTAATGTCTTGTCTGGGAGGAAAGCAGGAAGAAAGCCTACAAAAGCTTTTGGGTACCATGGAATTAGGAAGGTGCATCATTTTATTAATTTAAGTTAGTAAAATATATTATGAGAATGTTTTGTAGATACATTGATCATTTATACTCAATTAATATATTTTTAGGAGCAATAAATTTTACAATAACACTTGGAATATACAAGAGAAATTATGCAAGGCTTTTGTTGCATATAATGATGGAGATTATGAAACAACCGTTAATCTATTACATCCAATAAGATATGAAATCTTCAAAATTGGTGGAAGTCACGCACAGGTACAGTACATTTTGAAGCTTACATATTTTACATTATTATTTTAACATAATTTCACAAATGATTTCCTTAAATTTTTCATTATTTAGCGAGATGTACTTAACTTGTTATTGATTTCTGCTGCTATTAAATCACCATTAACTGCTCATCATAAAATTGCAAGGTACAGTTATAAAAATTTTTGTAATATTACAAAAAACATGTTCTTTTAACCTTATTTTTTTTTCCTATAGAAATTTATTAATTGAACGAAAGGCATTGAAAGAAAACTCCCCAATGACGGAACGTCTTATTGCAAAAGCACTGGCTTGTCATGCTGATTAGCCATATATTTTTATGGTCTTTTCTCTGCAATTTTTATATATTGTTATAATATTGATAGTATATCAAGAAATTGTTTTTCTTATAAGAAATATTAAATTCTATTTTTATATAATTATATAAGAAATTTATTACATAAAATTTGAATGGGTGTTTATTAAATGTTTATATTTAATAAAGGGAAATTGTTTATATATTGAAAACTTTTTAAAGAAAATGAGAATATATTGATAAATTTATAGGTGCACAATTAATGAAATTAATGATATATTCAAGTATGTATTGTGATTACTTTTGTTAAAAAATAAATATTTTAAAAGTTTGCTTATTCTGTTTTAATGCTAAATTCCTTATTATAATAATGAATTTAGATAATGAAATGATGTATTTTGTATTATAAATAGAAAAAATTATTAATAATATAAAAAGGGCTCATCAGAAAGATATCAGTAATATGTTGCTGAGGATGTCAGCAACATATTACTGATTTGTTTCTGGACTATTAGAATTAAGAACAATGTTCATTATCATTTGTTTGTAGTTGGTAATTGGCAACAGAGCCGGCCCTACCATAGGGCAAACGGAGCAGCCGCTCCAGGCGCTAAGTCCTATCGGGTGCCTCAGTGGGAAAGAAAATTAAAGGGTATAAATTAGGGGCAACCAAGGGGAACGCCATAATAGGATCTCGCTCCATCCTAAAACTTGCCTTGGGCCGGCACTGATTGGCAACCTTTGAATTATTTATTATAATGAAGCAAGGATTCAGATGAAGATATAAAACTGAAGGAGGGATGCTCACAATAGAAATGGCAGGTCGAGAAGCTCCTCGTATACTTCAAATTCTGATTTTTATAACTTTTTTTCGGGATTCAGATAGACCACTTCGATTGGCTGTTTTTGCCATAATATTAAAATTTATTCTGATTGAAATATCATATGATTAAATTTAAAATTAGTATTTAAAATTAAAGTTATCATTCAAAATAATAAATCAGAGATTTCAGAATATTCTCTGTGGTACAACAGTAGGATTGCCAGGTGAAACTTTTAAGTGTTTTCTGAAGTTTTCTCCAAAAATTTCCTAGAAAAGGGATGGGAAACCTGCAGTCTTTATGGCGCAGTTTGATAAAATATAAAATAGTAAAATTCACAGCAGTAAAATTAAATTTATCTTTTATGAAAATATGTTTTTAGTTATTTTTCTCAATGAAGTCATTTATCGAAGTACATTTTATATGCATTATTTATGCGTGTAGCTAAATGCATATGCAATGAGATCTATGGCACTTATAAAATCTGCAATAGATTATTCGGTCTTACTTGTTCCTTCTGCAATAAGTCTTCTAATTAATCTCTCCCCACTTCTATCCTAGACAATATACTATATAGTGTAATCAGTGCTATCGAAAGCTTAATGTAAAGTTGGCCAGAGATAGAGCAGACTACTTTTGCTCCTTTTTAAATACGTAGAGAATGTTTCTTCATTAATAAAACATTCTACGTTGCAGGTCAATTAAGATGACAACTTGCTGTATTGAGATCTTGAGACAAATCCGGATACATTTTTTTTTAATACACCCAATCTTTACACCACTCAATTTGGAGTGGCGTAAAGATTGGGTATGTGTTCGGATTTTCAATACGTCAGGACAAGCAAGACACTGATCACACTGCAAAGATTTGCTTCAAATTACTACAATACTAATGTACACTCTCTTAAATCTTAGGAGAATAATTGAAGATTAAAAATTCACTTAAGCTGAATTCTTCACTAGTTATTATCTCGAAAAAGAATGGTAATGAAGTTTTGGAACTCGAACATAATCCCCTGTTTTTATTCTTTTTCAAATACTACTTTTTCAAAGGTCCAAGATCAAGATACGATAATAAGTTAAATATTTATTTAGTTATTATAAAATGATTAAAATGTAACATTATAAACGCTATATCAATTCCAGTTATCACTTTTTATTGATGAAATATATTTATAAATTGTAAGTCGTTGGTTTTTTCCATAGCCGGAGTCGCATTTTTCAATCCATCTGGTTCTTTGCTAACGTGCTTTAAGAGTAAAGTTGTCAGTGGCGTGTCTGGATCTCCACTTCAAAAACCATTATTTACCAGTTTAAGATTTAATTATTATTCTAATTTATTGATCAACTTTCAGTATTAATCCAGTCAAAATTAAATTTTAATTAATTAATTAATTAAGACTTTTACATTAGTTTATAATCATTAGTGATTTTAGCACTTTTTCATTGTTGTTTTTACCTTTTCAGGCTCGTGGACACGAAAATATTTTTAATTATAAAGCATAATTTTTCCGGTTATTTTTAAAGGAAAAATTATATTGCATATAACAATAGGAACTGCTAACATTTTCCTGCATAATGTCTGATTTTTAGCGATCGAATTGCTGACTTTAGAAAGGAGATACCCGCATATTATTTCTATTATATATTGTTAACAAGAATTAAAATGTATTGTCTTAATACTTGATGTTCTCTTCCACTTTTAAATAATAAATTTACCTTATTTTGGAGTAACAATTTTGTAGTTTTATTATAATAAATGTTTTCTTGAATAATCTGAAGTTTTTAATGTTTTTAAATAAAATAAAACCTTTGATTGATTAAAACAATTTACTTAGTAAAAATCATTATTGTACAAAGAACATGGCAACAGTTATCCACAAAGATTAGACCTTAAACATGGTCCCTGTTAAATAAAAACAATTTCTAGGATTTGTATACAATTGGTTGGGGATCTTGTACTTTTTAAGTTTAAATAGGGATAAAAATATATACATTATGGTGAGATTAGGGACGTTCTCATTTACTTTACGTAAGTGTTTTCTCTCCATTTTGTAAGATCAATTCGTGGAAAGGTACTGCAATCCACTATTGGATTTCTATAATAACGAAAAATTTAAAATTACATTTTAAACTATTATAAAATTGATTTTACAATATAATATATAGTTTCAACTTACGATTCGACATTAGGCAATAACATGGCATCTAGTTGGATTGTCGTGATGTCGTCCGAATTGTCACATATTAAACGATTTAGTTTAATTTTCCTGATTTCATCCAGTTGTTCTATATAANAAACTTTTTTGTTTGGAGAGTCTAGATAATACCAAGTCTGGATAATCCTGAAAAAACTGCAGGAATTATGATAGAACCTCATCGTAAAATATGCCAGCAAGGAGGTGGCTCCATAATGATTCTAGGTGCCATAAATATTTGGGGAAAATTGATAATCAAATTCATTGAAGAAAAGTATGAAAAGAACATTTCTATATTTTAGAGAAAACTTTTCTCACGGGGGAAATGGCTTTGGCAGTAAGAAACTTTTAAATAGAACAAATTAAATAGTTGAAAATAAATCAAACTAGTTTGAATTGAGTAAATAATATAAAAACTTGTTAGCATTATTCTTTGATTTAGATTGCATTTATATTTTAGTTATATTTTAGATAATTCTTATATTTTAAAAGAAAAACTTTATAGTTTATCCACTACAGTAATTCATTCATTATGTAGATTATGAAAAGTCTCACCTAATGTAAAAGATGAAGGCCATCCAGAATTTTCATACCAAAATCTATCTCCTCGCCTAAGATTTGCAAATTGCTCAGAAATGAGGCAAGCGAAGGTTGGTCCAAGTAATGCACCCGGTAAGCCTTTCTCGGATATTCCTGCACTCCATAAATCGATATCGTCTACGTGCCTACATTATATAATTAAATGGATATTTTAACAATGAAAATTTAAATCGTGTTATTCTTTTATAATTATATACTCACTTATACATCCTCATATATTTATGAATAGTTTTATTCGGTAATATTCCAACAAGATCATGAAAATCTCGAATTTTTCGCATTCCACAGTATTCTCGATAACGAGCGAAACCAGGTATTCCAGTTTCTCTTCCTCTTTGAATATTAATAGCTGCTAAATCCATTCCGTATCCATCTCCTGGTTTTTCGAACAAATGATTTGTCACCTGATAAAAACATAAAACGGTCAAAGTAAATTTTATACACTATATTTTTTTTATTTTATTTCCTGTAAAATATTATGCCATATCTTCTCTTTATGAATCTATGGTTAATTATTTATTTTTTAGTTCTATCTTCATTTGTCGTGTTACGTTTATTTGTATAAACATGTGCTGATTGCGTTTTGCGATTTTCTTTCAGTGAGTGAAGGGCTTCTGGGACAGGCTAGATCTGATGAGGATTTTACGAGGAGCATCATCATCGAGGATGCTACATGGAAACAAAACGTCAGTCAACAGAGCGGGTGGGAAAATCTTCGCCGCGACAAGTTCGGTCGAATGTGTAGGTCGTGATCATTGTTTTGTTCAATTCTGAAAGTTTCATTCGCCAGTGAGGAAAAACGGACCGATTACTTGGAGAGAACACAATGACAATACACCCATCCACACATCGCTGCTGATAACAGAATGAATGGTTGAACTCGATACTACGTGTTCCTCAACCTCTATATTCAGCAAACTAAGCCACAGTAAACTTAATTTTGTTTCTCAAATTAAAATCCTCCGTCAAAAGTCGCCGTTTTTAATTCATTGTCTCTTTAAGGAAAATTCGCCAGAGAAGCTGCGCATCATACCAAAAGAAGCGTTTCAGAAAGCGTACTTTTCATGGCAGAAATGGCGGTGCGTAGACTCAAGAGGGGGATACTTCGAAGGCAACAAAAATGACTAGCTTCTAGTAAATGCAAACAACTTCTATTTGAAAAATTCGCGTGACTAAAGATTAGGTGATATCTTTATATTTCTAAAAATTAAGAACGTTCAACTCTCTCAAATTTTTACTCCTGTATTGGAAAATTCTCGGAATCGACTCTTCGAGACTTGGCACGCTTATGAAACAGTCATATTTTGTAGTTTAAAGTAACTAAAAATGAGTGTATTGATTAGTATTAAAAGCCTTTTAACTTTTAGTAACCAGTTATAAGGGACAAGTATAATTTAATAAAATCATCAATAAATATTTCTCGTACTAGCAGGCAGGGCCAGTGCGAGGCGGGTTCAGCAAGTTCCCAGAAACTTGGCCCCTCAATCCACACAACGTTTATCGTAGATTTTGTGGAATCATATATCTGTAGTAAATTCATTTGCAAAATTTGTAGTTAAAATGTAAACTAAAAAGCAGAATTGTAATTAGAGTACAGTATGGAATCTTTCCAAAAGTTTAACACAGATCACAAAATTAAATTTAAAAATTCACATAATACTACACAGGCTTTGTAATGTATAGTAATTGAAACTTTTATAGGATAACGTATTAGCACTGAATAATAGAATACTGAAATACAGTAGATCCCCCTATAACACTGTTGATTATTCCGTTTTATATGAATTCCATGTTGTACGAGTCACTTAGATTTTACAAATATGTGAGCCGTTCACAGCCCGGCACACGTATTTGTAAAATCTAAGTGACTCGTACAACATGGAATTCATATAACACGGAATTATCTACAGTGTTATGGGGATTTGTAATGGACTGTACAGATTATATAGAAAATTAATGCAAGTTGTTTTCAGTACGGTTCGTTCGCTTAGTAATGTACTGTACCGGTACAGTACATCACTAAACAAGATTGTTTAGTACCTACATAATATACAGAATAAACATGTTTATGAAATAGTAAATTAAATATGGTATTTTAACAGAAAAATTCAGAAAAGAATTATTAGACGTTACTAGATATTCAGAAGTGTGCAATATTGAAAAAGTGTTGATAATTGAATAGGCTTTTACATCGGGTTCATCCATAATTTTATTTATTGAGTGTTGCGAGTGACATATTAGTCACGTGGAAATCGGAGGGAGAAAAGATTTCTATTTCTAATAATTAAGTATTCTTGCAAACGGTAAACCTAGTACAGTAATAAATTGCCAGATCTGGCAATTTATTAGTAGGTTTTGCGACATTTTAAGTCAGTTGGCAATGTGCGACGATTTTTTTAAACTGGTGATATCTTAGAAAAATAATTATTTAATAATTTCGTTCTCACCTCTGTTGTTACTTCTGGATCCATTCGATTAGCAGCCTGATTCAGAAGAGCATTGAATAAACTATCAACAATTCCTGGTTTGTACAGATTATACGGCTGTCGAAGCAAAGTAGATATCCTTAAAGTTTCTACAATGGAATAATCGATTTAGTTTAATAAATATTCAAATAAAACATCAAAGAAAGACTTAATAATTTTTATTATTTACCTAATTTTTCGTGGAATTTACTATAACGTTCAATAACATCCGGCAATAAACTATGACCAAATCTGAATGCCGCCGCTTGAAATCCTGCCCTGATACCAGCATTAATTTTTTGGCTATAACCGTTATAAAATCCCTGAAATTAAAAATTAACACATAAATAAACGATATAATAAGAATAAACAATTAAATATTCACGGAACGATGCTTCTTACATGGCGTTGCAATTTCAATTCGTACTTGTTCATCATGTGATTACCAAGAATCTTCGGAAGAAATTCATTGAAGGTAATATGTTGAATCAATGCAGCTACAATGTGTCTAGCTTCTTGATAGAGAGTTTCATCATCCCAATGAGGATTGATTTCGGCTAATGCTTCTGCTAGACGATTATGTTCTCTCATCCATAAAGTGTGCATGGTGGTCAGAGTGAGTTGTTCGTTTACCCGTTCGTCACCTATGATCCGCAAAAATTGTTGATGAACCACCTACTGTATATTATAAATTTTGGCATTCTAAAAATCTCGAAATCTAAAATTTTCTTCAGTGCTAATTATCTCAGTTTTCAAAATACCCTTTGAATTCATACTTTCATCACTTATTATTATTATACGATTATCCCAATGTTAATAAATTAATAAAATTATAATTTTTTAGGAATGAAGGTAGTTCACAAGATAAAGAAGATTAAATATTAATTCCGATAACCACGTTAATATAAAGCTATCCATGTTGAATTTGCAACATTGACACGATTATCCATTGACTATTTAGACAAGAACATATTCGAAACTATAGACTATAAGAAAAAAAAAACAATTAATAAAAGTGATATATCATTTAGTAAGATGATAAAGTCAACCTTTTCTTTTTATAGTGAGGCCTCTGATTCAATCATTAACCTTATAAAATAATAGAATAAAAATCTTCAAGGATATAATTTCTTAAAAATGAATTTTAAAATTTTCAAATGTCAAAATCCAAGGGAAATGAATTTAAAGATAAAATCTTTCCTTATTCATTCCATTTAATTTTCTAATGAATATTATAATAATTTTAAATGTTTTTCCCTTACTCTAAATTTGAAATATTTAATGGCAATTATGTATTTAGTAATAAATTGTATTAAAATTACCCCCCTATAACACTGTAGATAATTCCGTGTTATATGAATTCCACGTTGTACGAATCACTTAGATTTTACAAATACGTGTGCCGGGCTGTGAACGGCTCACCTACTTGTAAAATCTAAGTGATTCGTACAACATGGAATTCATATAACACGGAATTATCTACAGTGTTATAGGGGGGATCTACTGTATATTTTTGTAATCTATTTGATATTTTCGTTTATACTCTGTAGATCATGATCGAAACGACATAGAATGCTGCAAATATCCGCCAGATCATCAGCATCCAAACTGCATGAACATAGAAATTCCTCGAAACGATCCATTTTTTAAATTTTATCGTAGAAGATGTTTAGATTTTGCTCGTATCTTACCAGGCCATAAACCAGGATGCCGCTTGGGTGAATATTAAAATAATTATTACTTTAAACCAGTAATTTTATAAAATAAATTATATTTCCATATTTTTTTTCATAGGCCCGAGATTTCAGATTAATACCATATCAGCTTACATTGATGCCAGTTTTGTTTATGGAAACAACCAAGATATTGCAAGTAGACTGAGATTATTCAGAGGAGGTCAGTATAATTTTGATAACACTTTGAACAATACATTGTAAATAATTATTAAAGTCATTTATCAATTTCAGGAAAATTAAAGTCGACTAGTATGTATGGAGATTTGGGTCTAAAAGATCTATTACCCATGAAAACAATCGAAGCTGATGTGGGCTGCATGGCAAGACCCAGAAATGTTTACTGCTTTGACGCTGGTAAGTACTTTATTCAATTTTTTTTTTATCTAACACGAAAAAATAATTACATTTCCTACGATAAAATCTGGTATTTAAAATAATACGAAATACAGTATCATTTTGTTTATAAATGGAAATCTGCAATATGGATTCCTCAAGTTGAAATTGTTAGATTATGAAACGTATGAGTTATAAGAGAAATGTTACAGTAGACCCCCCCTATAACACTGTAGATAATTCCGTGTTATATGAATTCCATGTTGTACGAGTCACATAGATTTTACAACTACGTGAGCCGTTCACAGCCCGGCACACGTATTTCTAAAATCTAAGTGACTCGTACAACATGGAATTCATATAACACGGAATTATCTACAGTGTTATAGGTAGGGTCTACTGTAACATTTCTCTTATAACTCATACGTTTCATAATCTAACAATTTCAACTTGAGGAATCCATATTGCAGATTTCCATTTATAAACAAAATGATACTGTATTTCGTATTATTTTAAAAATACCAGATTTTATCGTAGGAAATGTAATTATTTTTTCGTGTTAGATTAAAAAAAAATTGAATAAAGTACTTACCAGCGTCAAAGCAGTAAACATTTCTGGGTCTTGCCATGCAGCCCACATCAGCTTCGATTGTTTTCATGGGTAATAGATCTTTTAGACCCAAATCTCCATACATACTAGTCGACTTTAATTTTCCTGAAATTGATAAATGACTTTAATAATTATTTACAATGTATTGTTCAAAGTGTTATCAAAATTATACTGACCTCCTCTGAATAATCTCAGTCTACTTGCAATATCTTGGTTGTTTCCATAAACAAAACTGGCATCAATGTAAGCTGATATGGTATTAATCTGAAATCTCGGGCCTATGAAAAAAAATATGGAAATATAATTTATTTTATAAAATTACTGGTTTAAAGTAATAATTATTTTAATATTCACCCAAGCGGCATCCTGGTTTATGGCCTGGTAAGATACGAGCAAAATCTAAACATCTTCTACGATAAAATTTAAAAAATGGATCGTTTCGAGGAATTTCTATGTTCATGCAGTTTGGATGCTGATGATCTGGCGGATATTTGCAGCATTCTATGTCGTTTCGATCATGATCTACAGAGTATAAACGAAAATATCAAATAGATTACAAAAATATACAGTAGATCCCCCCTATAACACTGTAGATAATTCCGTGTTATATGAATTCCATGTTGTACGAATCACTTAGATTTTACAAGTAGGTGAGCCGTTCACAGCCCGGCACACGTATTTGTAAAATCTAAGTGATTCGTACAACGTGGAATTCATATAACACGGAATTATCTACAGTGTTATAGGGGGGGTACTTGTATAACGAATAATAAGCA